GATGTCCACTTTGGATACTTTACAGTGCTCACTATATTTAGTAGGGAATTAGTAATGTTTTTCTCAAAATAAGAACTTCCATGGACTTCCAGGAATTCCATATACAAAATAGAATTGTATCTGCTTTCCTGCATTTCATTATCTTCTGCTGCCTGTGGGGTACCCCAGGGCTCTGTTTTAGGCCCAGCACTCTTCAACATCTTCATCAATTATTTGGATGAGGGGATAGATGGGGAACTCATCAAATTTGCAGATGACACCAACCTAGTAGAAATAGCCAACACTCCAGAAGATAGGCTTAAGATCCTGAAAAATCTTGAACATTGGACACTATCTAACAAAATGAAATTCAATGGTGAAAAAAATAAGGCTCTACATTTAGGAAAGAAAAACAAAATGCACAGGTACTGTATATGTGGTACCTTGCTCAATAGTGGTGACTGTGAGAGGGATCTTGGAGTTCTAGTGGACAGTCATTTAAATATGAGCCAGCAGTGTGCTGCAGCTGCCAAAACAGTCAACACAGTTCTAGGCTGCATAAATAACATAGAATCAAGATCACGGGAAGTGTTAATACCACTTTATAATGCCTTGGTAAGGCCACACTTGGAATATTGCATTCAGTTTTGGTTGCCATGGTATAAAAAAGATGTTGAGACTCTAGAAAGAGAGAAGAGCAACGAAGATGATTAGGGGACTGGATGCTAAAACAAAATTTAATTGCTGAAACTGGATATGTCTGGCTTGATGAAAAGAAGGACTAGGGTTGACATAATAGCAGTGTTCGATATCTCAGGGGCTGCCACAAAGAAGAAGGAGTCAAGCTATTCTCCAAAGCACCTGAGGACAGGACAAGAAGCAATGGCTGGAAACTAAACAAGGAAAGAAGCAGCTTAGAACTAAGGATAAATTTTCTGACAGAACAATTAATCAGTGGAACAATTTGCCTCCAGAAGTTGTAAATGCTCCAACAATGGAAGTTTTAAAGAAGATATTAGGTAAGCATTTGTCTGAAGTGGTGTAGGGTTACCTGCCTAAGGGGGTTGGACTAGAAGACCTCCAAGGTCCCTTCCAACTCTGTTATTCTATGTGGTTATAGCAAAACCCAAATTTTGTAGCAAATGAAATAAACATAGAAAAAGTCTGAAAATACTTTTTAGTGGGTAAATAAAAACAAAGTCAGACAGAGCTAATTCCCTGGTAGCTAGAGGGACTGGCTCCACTGTGAATAAACTCCCAGTTTCCTTGCCTAGATCTGTACATGGCTGTTAATCACAAAGCAAAAAGACTTCTGAACATTTATGGACTGAGAGATTAAATGCCTATAACATCATAAATACTGCAAATCTGAATCGGCTGCTCTTTTTTTCACTCCATCCCATGGCTCCTTCTCCAGGGAGCATTTGACTGCTTCTAAGTTGTCTTTCTGACTGAGCTGCTGGCAGGGACCACCATAGTTGCATTTAACTAAGACTCCAGACTTTTTCTTTGCCTCTTGGCAATCTTCCTCATAGCCACCATAGGCCAAGGTTACTGCTCAGTAAACAGTGACATCTGCTCCATTGTACTTTCATGGACTATTATTTGAAATGAAGCCATTGGCAAAGAGAATGTAATTACTGTATGCAAATGGACCACTTCTCATGAATAAAACAGGTCCCGGTTTAGTTAAGGCAGCAAGCTAAAAGCTAGGAGACCCTGAGTTCTAGCCCTGCCTTGTGCATGAGAAACCAGCTGCCTTTGGGCCAATCAATCACTCTTAGCCAAAATCACCTCACAGGTTGGAGAAAATTGGAGAGAAGTCTGCTGGATATATTAGCTGTCTTGAGTTATTTCTTAAAATAATAAAGATGGGATAGAAATAGATAAAAAATATTTGTCACCTTGAGTTATTTGAAAACAATAATAAAGGTGGGATAAAAATAAAAAAGCATGATCCTAATTTAAGACCTCCAAATTTGGTTAGAGAAATTGTGGGATGTTTTTCACATCATTGAAGTAAGTATGGAAGACTGGTGATAAAAGGCTCTATTTTCCAAAATACTGAATTTAGGGACAGAGTAAAGAATTTATTAGTATTTAATTTTCTTATTTATTTTATATATGCTCCCTCCAGGCTCATACAAATTCAAAACAGATTAATACTGTCATAAACCATAATTTGCAATATATGCTTTTTTTCCAGCAAAGAAAGGGATAGTGTCATTTTAGAATACAGATATATAATAACATATCACTGAACAGATACTGAGGTTCTAAAATAACAGGGTTTTTAAAAAATTTCAGAACCATAAAAATGCATCTAAAAACAATAGGAAAACATAACTTCTTATCTGAACGTAAATGAAATATTGAATTTTTGTGTTGGTCCCACTCATTTTGGAAAATAAATGCAATACTTAAATGCTAAATGTGTTCCTCAGCCCGAAAGAAGCCCTGCATACTAAGTTAAAAAGAGGTGGGATTCTACTGAAATTGGAAATATGGAACAAAAAACACCTTTCATACAAGCAACATTGCAGATAAGGGATAAAGTTTGCATCATGATACTGCAATACATATCTCTCTCATTTTCTTTCACATGCTCACCAGGGGTGAAATTCAAAATTTTTCCCTACGGGCTCTGTGGGCGTGGCTCTGGGTGTGGCTTGCTATACTTGGTATAATAGTAATAGCAACGGGGTGATTTTTTACCAATTCAAATTGTCCCTACCACCTCTCCCGAGGTGGGCTGAGGTGGTTGAATTTTACCCGATGCTCACGCACATACATAGAAATTACCTAGGACTAGGGATATGTCATTTCTAGTGAAATATTTTCCCTTGAAAGTAATCTTTCCCATAATTGTTGGAATTACTCTAATCAGGATGTCCCAAAGGAGCTTTTTCAAGAGGCAACTGGATTTTCTGGTTTTCCTTTGAAGACGTTTAACTTCTCATACAAGAGCTGAAGAAACTTCTTGAATGAGAAGTGAAACATCTTCAAAAAAAAAAACAGAAAATCCCGTTGTCTATTGAAAAAGCACCTTTGGGACAACCATGATCTGGATGACTGAGAATCTCCATAGACACTCTATTCAGAACTTTAAAGATGGCAACCTGAAACAACTCAAACTTTGGAGAGGAACAGCCTCTGGTCCCTATGTTTCTTACCATTGGCCTTCACAAACTATCATCCTGATTCATTGTACCATTTTATTAAGTACAACAAGGGTCTTCAAACTTGGCAAGTTTAAGACTTGTGGATTTCAACTCCCAGAATTTCTGAGCTAACATGACTGGAGGAGGAATTCTGGCAGTTGAAGTCCACAAGTCTTAAAGCTGTCAAGTTTGAAAACCCCTGAATTACAGCATATGTGCTATTGCTCTCCTAAAGCTGCCTGCCTCAAGACCTCTACTGAATTTTAAATATTCCAGTATTTTTAAAGGCCTGTGTCAAAAAATTGAAAATGTATACCTAATCACAACAATTGGCTAAACTAGCTATATACAAACCTTATGTGAGAACTTAATAAACTGCTTGTTTAATTAATAGTCAGGTTTAGGCTGTTTCTTCCAAAAGATCTTTTTCTTATTCTGAAAATAAATCTTATTTACTAAAAATTGGAAAGTAACACTTGGAGGTATAATGCCACCTGGACAAAAAAATTTTTTTAAAACTTGCATGCCATTCTGCCCTTCTATAATATCATCATGATAATGACTTTCCATTCTCCATCATCTTCTTGGCCTAAATAGTTGGTACACCACTGCTGATTCTGATTAGCAGAATTGTAGATTTCTGTTGTTTGACAACCAGTAAACAGTTTTGCAGGATGTTTGCTGATAATTGTAGAACATGTAGCCATGTAAAACCTTAGTTCTCAGCTAACCAGACAGAGCAGGAGCTATGATCCCATCAGAAGCCAATAGGTCAAAGGCCAATGAAAGAGCAAAGGTTTCCAGTACCCTTTAGCATTAGACAAAAAATATTTCTCATGTTACAGAGCAAAGCAACATTATGATCAGCAAACTTGCTGTTTACAATTATTTTTTAAAAGAGAATACACTAGAATGCCCTTTGTGAATGCATAAAAGTTTCAGGTGCATTTGGGGGGTGGGGGGAGAAATAATTTAAAAAAAAATCATAGCATCCTTTCAAATTAACTAAATTTCAAACAAAATGCTGATGCAAACATTTCTTTTTTATTACCCATTATTTGTTGGAAATAAGATCAGTTTTGCTATGCTGACAATTGTTCTTTAAAACATATCGATCAAGTTCTCATTTATTCCTTTTATTATTAATTTGAATAACTTACACAAAGATGTTGGACAACATTTCAGGGCAAAACGACTCCCCCACCGCCTTGACAAGGGAGTCATCCCCTCATCTCTTTTCGAAGAGGTTGCTTCTGTGGGTTGCCATCTGCTATTTGGGATTTCCTCCGCTGCGTCCCACGAAAAAGTGCACTGCTAATACGCGGCCAGGGCAGGGAAAAACGAAGCTCCGCCACGTTACACGGTTCCGAAGTCCGTTTCGGCCGCTTTCACTTGGCAAGACAAGCTGCGCAACCCTAACGCGGTTGCCGGGCTTGAGTTTGGCGTGCACGGATCCAGCCGCTCAGGGCGCCTCATTCAGCAGCCCCGCTTCAAGGGTCGTTGCTTGAGGGGCCTGGCATCGCCGCCCCCTCTCGCACCTCTAACCTACCTCAACGGGCTGTTCGGCGGATATACCTGCAGGGGCGGAGCAGCGCCCACTGGGAGCCTGTCGGAAGAGCCGGCAAGCGATGGCATTCATTGAAGAGCCATCGCTACCCGCCGTCCAAGATCCAGCTCCTCGGAGGAAAAAGTGGGCATCGGGGCAATCTATCTGAGCGGGATGAACCTCACCCTGGCAACATCCGAAGGAGTCGACCGCTAGGCGGCGCTGCTCCAAGCGGCTGCGGCCTATCTGCCTGCGCGTCGGACCGGCTGCATTTCATAGGCTCCTGCCGGAGAGTCCCTCCTCCCCTCCCACCCACCTTCTCCCCGTGATGGCGGAGGACAGCGAGTCTGCCGCCAGTCAGCAAAGCCTCGAGCTGGACGATCAGGACACCTGCGGCATCGACGGCGACAATGAGGAGGAGACGGAGCACTCCAAAGGGTAGGGTGTTGGTGGGTGCGCCCGCAGGGACCACTGCCGCCCTTCCGATGCTCCTGCCCGCCCCGGGGTTGCCCAGGAGCTGCAGCGCGTTGCACAAGCGCGCGCGGTCGGCCCGGCCGGGTCGTGAAATAGGTTGTGGGGGCAGCCAGCCCATCCCCGGAGCCGATCTCCTGCCGCAGGGACAGAGGCGATCGCACCAACCCAGGAAGAGCGATCGGGGAGGTGGAGGCCACGCGGGGCACCGAGCAGCGTTCCGGGCTGCGGCTTGACTGCGAGGTGGGAGAGAAGAGCTGCTCCCCTTCGCTGCGGAGAAGGAGGAGGAGGAGGAAGAAGGCCCGGTCGGCAGGCTGTGTTTTGCCGCCGGGGAGAGGCTTTCTGGTCGGCGCGTGTTGTGGACACCCGCAGGCTATAGCGCAGCGCCCTTCCCTTGCTGCCGGGACCCAGGCTTTGGCCTGTGGGCTTCCCCGACGGCTGTCTGCTACGGTTTCTGTGCCAAGCCAGGCTTCCCCTTCGCCCTCTTTCCTTTTGTGACCACCTCCCATCCTTCGTAGCCTCCCGCAAGGCGGGCAAGAAGCGCCCGCGTCGTTTTCCCTTCGGGCGGGGGCGGGACCGGGACCGGAGGGGGGGGGGGCTTCCAGCACTGTGGGGGCGGCTGGCTCACTCGGAATCCCGGGGTGGGCGGGAGGCTGGATCAGAGATCGATCAGTGGGCATCCGAGGACTGGGGTGCGGGGCACGTGCGCCTTCTGCACGGGATCTGGGCCGGCATTTGGACTTGCAGGTTTCCTCCGAGTGCCCTGCTCTTTGTGACATCTGCTCCGATGAAGCGACCGACCATTTTTGGTAAATGTTCTTAGTCTGATCTATAAGGGAGTTTTTTCTTTCTTTCTGTTGTTTTTATGCCATTTTGCTGCCAGCCATCTCCTCCTGTACCTTTTAGGATCTCCCCCCTCCCCCCCAAAAAATATAGAGCAGAATAAAAGCATAAACAAATATGGTAATCACATATTTGGGAATGGGTGTTATGTGCATGATTTCCCTGTGGGATCCAACTTTAAACTTTTGAATGCCAAGGCTTGACTGGAGGGTCAAGCAAATAGGAGGAGTTCATTTTCCACAGCCCGCCATCCTATAGTGGAATATTTTAGAAGACAAAATTTGCAGACACCTTTTTCCTCAAGTCTTGTGTTGAATATGGTACATAGATAAATATTCAGAATATTTGAGTGATGTGTTCTAGCTGCAAGAGTAGGTTAAAATTTAGTTTGTTTGATTGCTATTTGGGATCTTGTGTGAGTCTACTATTGCAACTTGCAAATTATTTATAGACATGTTTATTTTAGTTTAATTTTATTGTCATTGCAACTCGTACAACGAAATTAAATACCATCTTCAATGTATATGAAAATATGACTATGAAAATAAACATAAACAACACATCCTTCACATTCTGTACATTGAACCGAAAACCCCCAATACCGCACCAACACTGCACTATACAGTAGAATTCAATAGAGTTACTGCCCTGGAATAGAAGCTGTTTTTCAGCCTATTTGTCCTTGTTTTTATTGTTGTACTGTCCGCGAGATGGTAATAGTTCAAAAAAAGGTTGCCCAGGATGAGATGGATCTTTGAAAATATTTTGAACTTTTTTAAGGCAGCGGGAGCTATAAAGCTCTTCCAAAGACAACCAATGAATGATCTTCTGGGCAATGACGTTAACCTCCGGAGTGCTGTCCTATCTGCCATTGTGCAATAGGCAAACTATACAGAGGTGCAATAAGTTAAGATACTCTGTATGGTGCAGCGGTAAAAGATTACCAGCAGTTTTTCATACAGTTGTTGTTTTCTGAGAAGTCTCAGGTAATATAATCTCTGCTGGGCCCTTTTGACTAGTGCTGCAATGTGGGCACCCCAGGTCAGGTCCTCTTTTAGGGTAACACCCAGAAACTTAAAACTGGCCACTTGCTCCACTCGGTCTCCTTTGATAAGCAAGGTCAGAACAGATCAAATGTTTGATCTGTTCCTTCTATAGTCCACTATAAGCTCCTTGGTCTTATTGATGTTGAGGACCAAGTTATTGTCTCCACACCATGAAAGCAACTGGTCCACCTCATCTCGGTAGGCAGACTCATCACCCCCCGGAGATGGGGTTCCACCATTGTTGTATCATCTGCAAATTTAGTAATATTATTACTAGTGTGAATGGGAATGCAGTCATGCACATAAAGAGTATAGAATAAGGGACTCAACACGCAACCCTGTGGTGTACCAGTTTTAAGAATAGGGGCTGAAGAGGTATGATTACTAATCTGACCCTCTGTGAGTGGCCAGACAGGAAATCCATAATCCAAAGGCAGATTGAATAAAAACGTCCAAGATCCAGTGTTATGTAAAATGAAACAATTATTTAACAAGCCATGGTTAAGTAAACAAATGTTTAGAAATGTGCACAAACCAAAGCGCAATCACCAGCAGACTTCAGATTACTCTGAAGCCATACCAAACTTGATACAGCTTTGCACATTTATAAACTAGACGCTGTTTAGTAATATGGTTTAGGGCAGAATATATTCTGTTGTGCAAGCTGAGGCTCATTATATGTTTAGTAAGCCATTGATAAGTATTTTTTTCAAGTAGATAAGTCTCTTAGAACAAAGAGACTATGTGCACTGCTTCCATTAAAGAAATCATCCATCCATCCATCCATCTATCATTCAGGGATTTTAATGGAAAACCCAGATGTTATATTGATGTTCGTAAATTTCCTATGTTTTCTCAATGTGTCGGTCTTTTTCACCTGGAGAAACAATTGAGCAATTTGACTGTCGGGACTAGGATCTTTCCTCTGATTAAGTTTCTCTTCAGAGATCTTATGATGTGAGGATTGAATTCAGGTTCTATTGAAGCTAATCCAAAGTCTTAAAACAGGGGAACTGGATTAGGACACTGAAGCTAAAAGGCAGTGTTTTGCTTTGACTAGGAGGTTTTGCAAATTCAGCCATTGTGGTTTCATTGATTGTAAGCCCTATAATCATGGAAAATAATTGTAGCTTTAAATGTTGCTATTTAACTTTTAGCATGAGCATAGAAACCTTTACAAGCAAAACCAAATATTTCTATATTCGGACACCACACTGAATTATAAAAGTCAGACATATTCTATCGTAATTTATTGTGAAGATTTAGTCCTTGATTAATATATAGTTCAGTGTCGTCATAAAAACTCAGAACATGGAAATACCTGAGTAAATTGTAATTAATTCAACTATGGACAAACACATTACCACTCATTTAAGGCTATGTGCTATAAAAAATGGCTACAATACTCCAAGACCATACTGTAGTATAAAGTCTTTTTGTATTAGAAGCACATGACCTGTCCCTGAGCTAATTTGCCCCAATCTTGTATATTCCAGGTATGTTGGGATCCAATGCTTGGTAAGACTAAGAAATCTAGGAATTGTAGACTGGCACATCTGTTTAACTGCTTAGAGCCTCCAGGAATAGGCAGCATGCCAATGTTGTAGACAAAGAAATAAACAAGGCAGCACTGCATCCATTCTATGTTTATAAGCTAATTGTGTTCAGTATGAATAATATGAAGCATTTTAGAAAATGACTATTAATTAAAAATATCTCATTCGGTAACTTACAAAACAATACATGACAATTATTTATAGTTTTTTCTTTTTTAAATCAGACAGTCCTTTGATATGTGATGAATATTTTTCTTATCCGCATAGCATTGGCTTGTCCAGACCCTGGTATCACTTAAGGAAACGTCTACAGTAGTGTGAGAAATGTTTCTAAAATTAAAAGCATTATGCATACAAGTAATCTGAAGAAGTAGGAAACAAGTTTGACTTGATGCTTAGTCAATTTGCAGAGGTTATACTTTTGCTTTGCTTTTGAAATAAGATTTTATATGATTATATTGCTTTGTATTGTGTTGAATAATAATAATAATAATAATAATAATAATAATAATAATAATAATAATAATAGTACCCTTTGGATCCTTGTAACCAATTCCTACGCAAATTGCATTCGAAGTAGAAAAACTGTCAGATGGTACCATTTCACTGAAATAGAATGTTTTTTGTCATATAGGTAGATAGTCTCCAACCTTTCCGGCTTTGTGGATTAGCAGCAGGGGCAGTAGTGGTGGGGACAGGGGATGGTTTCACAGGTGCACCCGCTGCTTGCACAATGGAGCTTTGAGTGCTTCTGCACTTGCCATCTGTGTGTGTGCAGCTTGATTCCCAATGGGTCGCAGTCTTGTACCGGGTCATGGACCAGAGGCTGGAGACAGTTAATATGGGTTATACATCTGAAATGTCTTATATTTCCTTTCTTTCTTACAACCTGACTGCAACAATCCATAATAACTGTTATGTCTTGGGAACCGGTTGGAGCTCCAACCGGGTCCACTCGTTAAGCAAGTTCAACAGCCGTTCCTATTGGCTGACAGCCGACTATAAAAAGCCGGCTGTCAAGCCAAGCCAGCCGTTGTTCGCAAGCTAGTCTGCCCGTTTGGCTGGCAGACGCGACAACCACTGTTCCTTCAATAAACGTGTTAATTGCATGCCCTGGTCTAAGCCTCTCTTTCCCTTGAAATACAACA